AGCAACTGCACATGTAAAGCTGGCAAAGGTGGACAATGTAAACATATTGTTGCATTGCTGTTTCAAGTAATCGAATATAAACAATTAGACATGACTGAAATCCCCGATCACCTTACTTGCACACAGTTATTACAGCAATGGCATGTACCGAGAAAGAATGAGTCGGATGAGGCAGTTCTGTATGAAAGCATTGTTTTTAAAAAGGCTGTTTACGAAAAAGATATTAAAAACAGTAATAAGCGTAAAAGATCACAACTACCCGAAGAGGAAGTGTATAATCCCACCCCAGATTTTGCTAAAGTTATCAAACAGACTGAAATAGAGAAATTGGCAAGCAAGTTGAATGCACTAGAAGAGAAAAGCTATTTAGGCAACTTATTGGAGTCAAATGATTGCAAGCCATGTGCATTTGAGGCTATCCACCAGGAACTTCCATCAAAAAAGAGACACACTGAATCCCTTACTCTGAACTTTAATGACACTGCCATCCGTGAAAAAGTTTTAGATAATTTACAACCTACTTCAGTTGAGAAATCCAATAGCTACAGTGAGACAGTTAAGAAATTGAAACATTCTACAAATATTACGCATTCAGAAATACTCCAGATTGAAAAAAATACCAGGGATCAATCTTCAAGTGACAAGTGGTTTGAGGAGCGGCATAAGAGACTCACTTCGTCAAATTTCGGTGCAGTAGTTAAGAGAAGAAAAACAATTTTCCCAACGTCACTATTAAACAAAATCCAAAATCAGTCCAAACAAGCTAAGTGTCCAGAACCTTGTCAATGGGGAAAAGATAAGGAAGGGAAGGCTATTATAGAATACTGCAAATTTAAAAACAATGAAGGACGGGGTATTGATGTATGCTCGAAATGTGGTTTTGTCGTTAACATTGAGTTTCCTTGGTTAGGAGCCAGTCCAGATTTTCTAGTTTTTGATCATACAGAAGAGAAATCCTTCGGCATTGGTGAAGTTAAGTGCCCTTTCTCAAAAAAGGATGTTTGCATAGAGGAAGCATGCAAAGACAAAAACTTTTACTTGGGCATAGTGAATGGAAAAATCCAACTAAAAAAGACACATAACTATTACTACCAAATCCAAGGGTGCATGGCCACACTAAATGTTACCTGGTGTGACTTTGTTGTTCTTACAAATATTGATTTACATGTTGAGAGAATCCATTTCGACTGTGACTTCTGGCATAAAATTGTGCCAGAGCTAAGCTGTTTTTATTCAGAATATTTGTTACCAGAATTGTAATTAATAAACTCTGCACAGTTGATATAATACTGTATACATTAATTAAACACTGTTATAACATTTTTATAATATAACTTATGTGCACATAAAGCACATGCATACAGTACAATTGAGGACTTGCAGTATTAGAAGTTATCACACAACTTTAACAGTCTATGATTGTTTTTCTTTAATAATGGGAGGCAAAAACAATGTTAAATAGGAACAAACACCCCAGATTTGGTCAAGGTTATCAGCCAGTGTCAAAGGAATTACTTGCTGCAATATTCTATAGTTTTTTATTCGTGCAATTGCACGCTCGACATGCACCCGAACTGATGCAATTTTTCTAGTTTTTGCCTCATCTTCAGCTGAAAGCTGAGGTTGTCCATCTAAAAATGGTGGAATATTTAGGAGTACCCCATTTGGCATGTCAGACTCAATGTCAAAACCTCTGTCTGCCATACATTCATCTCCTGGCTCTAGTAGATTTAGAATCCCACAGTCACGAGTGATTTTCTTGTCACTAGTTCTACCTGCATATAAGTTGGAAACAAAACTTGGATATCCATTTGGTGAAATTCCAATCAAACCCTTGGCAGTGTTATGATTCTTATAGCTTGAAAATGTGATTGATTGACTTCTACATGATGATGGCATTTCAATAAAAAACTCAGTACAATCAATAATAACTCTGGTTTTAGGATAGACTTGCTTAAAGCAGGAAGGCATGTTATCTTCAATGAATTTACGACTGGGCCAAATTGGGAGGGCACGAAGACGTTGATGCAAAAAGGGAATCCATGTTTTAAAAATGCGAGAAACACTGGTTGGTGAGATGTTAAATCTGTGAGCAATATCTTGCAAAAGTAACCCCAAACGTAATCTTGTAAGTACAAGGAATAATTCCTGTTCTGGGGACATAGATCGTTGTTTGCCACATTTTATTTGCGATTCAGAAGTTATAGGAGCAGTGTTTGAACCATGGTACATAAGGTGTTCACAGGCTGGAGAAAGGTAATCATAAAATGCTTTAAAACTTGAATAGTTTGGAAATCCAGTATAAAATCTAAAGTCACTGTCACTGCCTATAAATCTTTCTAATCGAAATGCACTTAATTGTAATTTCTCTGTATCTTCTTCATGCTGTTTTGTAGTTGTAGTTTATCTGTCTCAAGTATAAATATTTCCTCCTTAAGTTTATTTATTGGATCCTCAGTCTCAACAACTGTCTCAACAACTGTAGAAGTAGAATTACTCTCACTAATAACTGCACTGGTTGAAGTATCTGCATCATCTCTTACTGCTATACTTGTTTCACTTGATGAATATTGTGGATTATTTAGATTGTCAACTGTTACTCTTACAGTAGGGCTTTTTCTTGGTTTACTTGTTGTTGCAAAAACTGTTGGAATGTTGTTGATGTATGTTTTCTTGCCTTCCACAAAATGCAATGAACACACCCTGTGACTGGGACCAGGCTCTCGTACACCTTTTCTTTTCAAACGTCGTACCCACTTTTTCTTTAACTCAGGATTTTTTGGAATCTTATGAAAAGACAGTTCCGGGTTTTTTCGATTGTTGCTTTCACATTGTGGTATACAGCAAAATCTTTTCCACACCTGTTCACTGACTTCATCATTTTTAGTGTTATTCACCTCAAGTGAAGTGTTTTTAATAAATTTAAATACTCGTTTAAAAACTGACCTAAACTGTACAATTTTAAAATATATTACATGTATTTACAGTATTTACAATATTAACAAATTTAAATATATACCCTAAATATTAATTTTACTATTTATAATTTAACTAAATATTTTTATATCCTATCCAAAAATTTATAGACAAAATCTAAAACGACTTTAAGAAGGCCTAAAAAGTTAAATATTTGAATATACCTAAATTTATTTACCTAAAATTATTCTAGAACTCACGAGTAATTTAAAAAATTTAACAATGGAGGACACGAACCAAATTGCACTTCAGCTAGAGGACAAACAACAGCAGTAAACCCAGAAAAATCTTTTATTTTTAAATTTTCTTGCTACAATAGAAGGCTGCTTATTTAAATTCAGGGTATTTTCGCGCCAAAACAAAGGTAAAACATTAGGTGAAGTGAGGGCACGTCCAATGTCAAATTCGAACACAATCGTGACAAAAGTTGTAAATTTCGCGAAGCTTAAAATGCCATTTCGACACGCGAACATGTAAAACAACTATGAGATCGAATACAAACAACTATCAGATCATCTTATTTTGAAATAATATTTAGCCGATCGCATATTGAAACGCCAACTCACCTGCTTTAGTTGGGAAGGTTAGATTTTCGCGAGCAAATTTCTGCAAGGCATGTTTACAAGATGTGCCCCTCTCAACGCATTTTCTCGGCCGCTAATGGACAGAAATTCCACAAATTTCCCCAGAATATAGCGAAAAGCGCCCTTGTTATGTTCCATAACAAAAACCGTATCGATCGATGCAATAAATAGTTTAAAATCCGCCATACATTCCTCCAAACAAAATCGTCCGCTCCCACGGCGACCATTTCGTTTGGAAGCAGCCTACAGCCTCCTACCGTCATGCTTAGCGGCCCGAAATCTATAATGCGAGTTGTCCATTTCTGACTAGTAATTCCTGAACCTTTAGCCTCAAGAGGCAAATTATTCCAGGCCGAAGAGGCTGTATAGCTTATGCTTTTCTTCAAAAAATTTGTACTTGGTTTGTCGAGGGTGAAATCTCGATTGTTGCTACGGAGGTAATACCGCGAGTTCGTTGATCCTTGCTTCGCTTGCTTTTCATTTTGTTGTGTAGTTCAGCCCATGCTTGATTTCTTTTAGGAGGCATTACGATGTAAATAGGTTAAGTAAATGTCGACTCTTTGTTGTAAAATTTCTGTGTTTGCATAAACGCGACACAAATCACGGAAATGGCGGAAAGTGACGGGAATTCAATAGAAATTATAGGTGCGCCCACTGGGTGCGCCCCGGTCAGCGGTGAGCTATATGTACCATATTCATGTCGTGGGACTATATTGGATCCACTAATATTACAAAAGAATATGAAGTACATCGTATTCATAGAGGGATATAGTGGGCTATGAGAACAACCGGCCGCTTGCAACATTTCATTTTGTGAAATATTTTCTAATGAGAACGACCGGCCAGGGCACGACGGATTGCTTTAACAGTGAAATCGCAAATCAATTTCAAAGTTCGCCATACAAATGTTTTTCAATTTCTATATTTTTAAATTTAATTTTGATCTGAAGATTTAAATTTATTTTTTGTTTTACTTTCAAAGTTTTAAATATTTTATTAGGTTTATTAATTTATTTTTATATTTATGTTAATGTATTTTTATATTTCTTTGTAAATATATTTTTACTTTCAAAACATTGATTTGTATTTTATTAAGAACGTAAAAATTTAAATATTTTATTAATTTTTTTTATATTTATTTTAATGTATTTTTATATTTCTTTATAAATATATTCAATTTATCATAATTTCGCCTACGAGAACGACCGGTTTACTAATTTATTTTGATAAATGAGTAAATAAATAAATGAATAAATAAATGAATAAATAAATGAATAAATAAATGAATAAATAAATGAATAAATAAATGAATAAATAAATGAATAAATAAATGAATAAATAAATAAATAAATAAAAGGCCCTGGCATTTGGTTTGCCTGGCAAATGAAATATTTGACGTTTGGACTAAATAGTAAAATAATATGGAGAATCAAGTGTTACCTCATTTTCCTCAGTAGGATTGACTGTTGGCAACTCAGTTGTCTCTTGAGTTTGTTGAGGTTCAGGAACTTCAGGCGATGAAAACCAGCTCCATTTGCTGGTGGGTTCCTCTGTCTCTTCACCACTGCTCTCTGAAATGTCTCCACTTTCATCCCCAGAGTATGAAGTCTCAGTTGTTTTCAATATATTCTGCCATGATGTTGGAAACTATATAGTAATAAATGTATCAGTTTTGATGGTTATTGGTGACAATTAACAGTTTAATGGATTTTGTGCGTTTTCTGAAAAAAGATTTTTGGATACACCATTGTACTGTACATAGACTGCATGAATCTTCAGTTAACTACTTGCATGGTATGTTCATGTAAATACCACGGACCTTTCTCCTTATAACTAAAATTTTGATCCAGACAAGTCTAGACAAAAATTTCATCACAGCTTGAAAGAGCATCATAAAATTAGTAATATTTCGAAGTTTCGTTGCGAAATGTTGTAAAATGCAGATAATATAGCCCTGCGAAATTTGCAATTTTCAGTCATTTTGTATTACAAACGGGAAATTGATGCCCCAACACTCGATTGGGCTGTCAATTTCCCGTGCGTAATACAAAATGACTGAAAAGCGGCAAATTTCGCAAGGCTATATTATCCGCATTTTAGAACATTTCGCGACGAAACTTTTAAATATTACTAATTTTGTGATGCTCTTTCAAGCTGTGATGAAATTTTGTGTCTAGATCAAAAGTTTAGTTATAAGGGGAAAGGTCCATCAGCCTAGCCTTCCAACAACTCTAATTTACAGTATAGGCTCTAGGATATGCTATTCACTTGGAAATTCTTAAAATCTAAGTTATTTACAACACAAGGCATGTTTGCATTTGAAAATAGACAAGATAAAATAAGACATGATATAAGATTCACAAAGCAAACTTCAGTTACTGTAATGTCAAACCTCCCTTCTAAATTCCATTTTTCTTCAATGTTTTGATTATATTTTAGAGAAAAGGGACTTTGATTGGGGAAGGGCAAAATGGTTGAGTGGGGGGGGGGATTTGCCCCCCTGTCATATAGTTAAAAGGCTCTGGTTCGGTTCGCCAGGCAAATGAATGTTTGAATTTTGAACTAAATAGTAAAAAAATACAGAAAATGAAGTATTACCTCATTCTCCACTGTAGAATTGACTGTCGGCAACTCAGTTGTCTTGTGACTTCGTTCAGGTTCAGGCATTGTATCCAAGGTCCATTTGACAGGGATAATGGGTGCTGTGTGGAAACTGGGTGATTCTCTCCGTCTCAGTGCTACTTTCCGCCAAAACTATATATAGTAATAAATGTATCATTTTCAAAACCAATCTTGTAGAAGCAGGAGCCACCACGACAAAGAAACGGGGTTGTGATTGGATGATAATATAACAATTAATTTTGATAGATTTTCTAATGCTGAGTCGCACAAAGCACGTTCACTTTAGCTTACATTAAAGTGAGAAGCCGAAAAAATAGACACTAAAATTATAGATCAACAATAATCATCATAAAAAATAAAACTACGGTTTGATTTCTTTTGTATTTTGCTCACGCATTATTGCTATATATTTTTAAGTGATAGATGAAGTATTATAATAATATTACTTTATTTTTTGAGGATAAACAGATAAAGTTTATAGAACTTTTTTCCAATCTAGTCCTCCTAAACTTTATAGACACAACAACAATAACATAAAACATGACTATTTTCAGTACTTCCTAGGAGTATGAACAAACGAAATCATGGGTATAATGTCAAGTATAGCGCTCGAACTGAATTCATTTAAACTAGCCGAAGGCATGTTCCATCCCATTTTTCAGGTCGGTCTTCAACATGGGACTCATTGCCTGTCGATCATACCTTCTTCAATGAGTAATCATTGTTATATTTTTCTATGATTGTAAAGTAAATAAATAAACTAGGGAACCTGCAAGGTAGGGAATGCTGCTGGCAACAAATAGAACCATAGGAATCCCAATAAATATAGTTGTAACAAATAAAAAGCGTTAAATTTGTCTAATTTTGAATAAATTTGCATTGTATTACCGTGATTTGCCTCTTTTCAATCTTGCGCTGTGAATTCAGTGACGTAGGTAAATCGCGTATACGAAGCATAGTAGCACAAGGTTGAAAAGAGTCAAATCACGGTATTACCTGGTCTTTGCTACTACAATATATATTGCTTCTTCTCAGTTCCATTCACAGCTCACTAGTCGCTGCGAGTAATGACTGTGCTTGATATAATTTGTGCTGTTTACTGTAGTTCTATCATAGGAATCCCAATAAATATAGTCGTAACAACTGACGAGTTACTGTCGCAAGGAAATTGCTTTCTCGATTGGCAAATGTTAGCGAGGAAACAACTTAATTTACAGTGAAAGGATATGTAAAATCACTTTAATTGATATGGACTTTCAATACACCATGATCAATACACCATGACCATGTCCATGATCAAAATATCAACAAAACACAAATATCAACAAAAGATTTAATAGTTATTGTGGCCACAATAGATTTTTCTTGAAAATGTCAATAATTATCATACAGTATATTAAACAGTTAAAGAAGTACTAGACTTGGTTCAAGTCCGTCTCTCAAGGGGTTGAAAATAGCGATGCATGTGAGTGGTCAAAAAAAGCGCAAAAATATGAGAGAAAAGTTTGATTTTTTTATTTTTCCTACGGAGGCATTGCTTGTGAGTTGAGAACAACAACAAATTCTCGCGCCAATTTTTGCAAGTAACATTCAAAATGCTACAAATGTCCCAAGTCCGTTTCTCCCTACTTTTCGCCTGAGATGGACTTGAACCAAGTCTAAAGGAGTACAAGACCCAAGTTTATCTGTTTCTTTAATGTATAAGGGAACAAACAAGAATGTCTATAAATAACAGGGAATGTCAACATCGTAGTGTATGCACATGGAATTTAAATGCTTATGTTAGCCACATGCCTTCAGTATAACCTCGTTGACCTCCAGGCTTGCAAACTTTCATGATTGGCAAAGCACAATTAACATTTCCTCAATCTGAGTTGAATCTTTCATTTCATTCTTATCCTGAGAACATCGTGAACACACATATGGTGCTTTAGGTTAAGATCAAGCTTCAAAACAAACATGCCATTAGGATCAGGCATCCCCAAACAATTACGTGTATGAGGGTCAATCAGATAGAAACACTCCATATGCTTCATGCTTTATCATGCAAGGCCATGACACAGAATACTACACAGAAGTCCATCTCCATTGTTTTTAGCGTAAGCTCTATTCGTCATGATTCGTCACTCAGCAAGTACCGCAAACAGAAGCAGTCACCCCCCTGGAAACACTAAAAATGGCGCACGTCCAGGGGGTGACTACTTCTGTTTACGGTACTTGCTGAGTGACGAATCATGTCGAATAACGCTTACGCAAAAAACAATGAAGATGGACTTCTGTGTAGTATTCTGTGGCCATGATGTAGCTTTCCAAATATCATAAAAGCATATTTATATTTAAATGTATTTGCAATTGCTATGCACATTTTATAATAACAAGACGCCTGCTCAGGCGTTCACACTGGCCTGAAAATAACGAGATACGTGCTATGGAGCAAAAGGCAGGAATACAAATCTTAAACCGCAAGCAAATTTTATGGACTTTTTAAAAAAATAAAAGACCTTTTCGGAAGACGTAATGGAGATCGATGCACGTTCAAATCATGCCGACCTGCAGAATCGATTTCCAGTTTTTCCTAACAGCGCGTTGTTTTCATATGCGTTTCATGGGCCGCGCTAAAAATATAAATATTCTGTAAATACCGAAATAAAAGATGAAAATCTCAAGACACAAGCTTGAAAATAACACTATAGATAGTGTTTTCGATTCTGGTTCCAATAACATTATCACAAAAAAGATATGTCCAAAGGGGCCGAAGTTATATTCGGCAAAATGTATGGCTAGTTTACATTGTTAGTTGTATTATGAAATATGATACCATATTTGTATTAAATTTCGCGTCGAACTAATGTTATTGTAAATGAGTAGACTTGCCACAAGTCGACCTCGAACGAAATGCGTTTCTTCGAGGTCGACTTGTGGCAAGTCTAGCAAATACATACAAATGATACAATAATACTTCTAGTTCTTGTTGGTATTTTGAACGCACGCTTTATCTTTAGTATAGCTACCACAAAGCTTTTCGCGCGGATTATATTTCGTGGAGTACTAAATATTATATTTTGTGGTTTTCGAGTCATTACACAAAGAAAGACACATTAATTCAACACGCAAGAAAGTCCAGAGTACGACACAGCGTAAAATACATAGGAAACCGGCACAATTCTTTGAAAATTCAACGAAACTGTGTAAAATATAGTTTGATCACTCTGTGAAAGCCGCCATTGCAGTTCGGAATTGTGCGCGTGCGTACAAGTGTATAGGCTAATAAACAAAAAAGTACCACAAGCATGGCATGAGTCGGCTATTACGTACATATATACGAGCTTATTACTATACTATATAAATCATGGAACCGAGGGAATCGATGGCATTTGGGCTTAATCGTTGTACCCTGAGCCTGCGATGAGCTAACGCAAACTCGATTTCTCGACTACGAAAAAAACAGAAAAAGGGGGATTTAAGACACTTGGCCTTACAGGCCAGTGTAATGAGAGGGAATTTTATGGAAAGCCATAGCTGTCTTAAGTGATCAAACGGCATTTTGTTGGGTGCTTTCACCATTATACGCGGTGGTTCTAGCATTATACGCGGTGGTTCTAGCATTATACGCGGTGCTTTCACCATTATACGCGGTGCTTTCAACATTATACGCGGTGGTTCTAGCATTATACGCGGTGCTTTCACCATTATACGCGGTGCTTTCAACATTATACGCGGTGGTTCGAGCATTATACGCGGTGCTTTCGGCATTATATGCGGTGCTTACACCATTATATGCGGTGGTTCTAGCATTATACGCGGTGGTTCGAGCATTATACGCGGTGCATTCATAATTTGCATCATTATGTGGTAGTGAGCCAGTATGTTTGGACAGCGGTTAATATTTATTTAGTTATCAGTCCACAGGCGGCCCAAACTCTGAATGGTCTATATATTTTAAATATTATACGGAATATTTATACGTTATAATCTCTGCGTTGTAATATTTAACGAAATAATTTTAAAAATATCAACAATATACCGGGTGTCCCCAAAAAACTATACCTATTATATTAAAGCTAAAACTGAACGGTTTAGAAATAGTTTTATCCCATATGCAATTAGAACTTATTCGTAGTTTTAATTAAATTAACGTTTTAATAATTTTATATTTTCTTATATAGCTTATTTTGAATATGTATCTTAATTAACTTCATATAATGTAAAACGTGTAATTCAATCCCTGATTGCAAAACGTTTTTTATTAAAAATCACAATCACAGTATATAACATTTAATTTTCCGCGCGTTGACAGAGCTATTGGACCATTGGCGTTTTGAAATTAAACTACCATTTCTGAAAAGGTTAAAAATTAGCATAAAACGGCATATCAAATTCCAATTTAGTTTGCCGTGTTGATAATTTTTATTCTTGCTAAAAGAATGAATTTATGTACAAAGGATTGACTAACTGAGTTTACTCATCAGGAAAAGCGTGTCTTTGAGCCTGAATGAACCGTTGTGTATGCTCTAGAAATCATGCCATCATAAGCGTTTTGAATCATTTGTTGATCCAAAAATCTAATCGACAATGTTTACAGTATTTCATTACGAATTTGAATCACAATTAGCCCATGCAAAGGACATGAACGTAAATTATTACTTTTTTATTTCATTCTAATAAGAATCAATCTTTAAGTGTAATTTTTATTTCAAAAGTAAATTTGCAAGGGAACAGCCTAAAATTAAAGATAAAATCACTGAAGTTAAAAAGATTCCATGTAAGTGACAACTGCTTTCAATTTAGTCTGATGCGGCAATTTTTGTCGTTTTTTCGACAATTTTTAAAACTCCTCGGAACTTTAAATACGAAGTCAATATCGTACGGAAAATTAAATGTTGTATATCAAAATCTAAGTTAATCCCTTGTGAATAGAATGGTTTTCATTTTAGTGAAATAACTTTTAATATAGGTTTTACGTTACATGAACTCAAACAGTGTATAGTTTTTTTGGGGACACCCAGTATATGTAAAAAAATATAGCTAAATTGTTAATAGATGCA